ATGTAGCTCGTAATCAATTAATTTGGAATAACAAGGCTGTATCCACTTATTTAAATGCAATTCCCATTATTAACAGTTACTATTTTATTCGCAACAAAATTAATCGGTCCGGTCTTTATCCAATTCATTGACGTCAATTATATTTAATGCATAAATACATTGCTCTCTCTCTCAACCTGCATATTGCTGTCAGCGGCTTTAACCAATTAACACACTACCATGCCAAGATCAAGTGCTCCACTAAAATAATAAACAAATCGGGCAAAAATCACCAGGACTAATACAATAAATTACTATTGGGTTAATGGCCTTTTGTTAACCTGTATTTACCTTGAATAACTACTAACTGTAAAATATGAATAGATAGACAGTCGAAAAGTTTAGCATTATTCGAGCCTGTTCGGCACCCTCTTACCAAAATGGGCCCAAATCAAAAAAGTTAGAATTTATATGATACATATCCATGATACAATGAATATATCCTAAAAGATATGAAGAAGAATGACCACGAGACAAAGAATATCCCGGAAGATACGAAGAAGAATTTCGACGAGGAGTGAAAGTGACTGAAACAGATACTCGAATTTAGTAGAAAAGACCAAAAACCATGTGTTATTAGTTAGGGTTCCGGAACCCTGCAGAAGAACACAAACATGATGAGACTCTTCGGATGATTCGGCTGGGTTCTTCACAGACGCCAAGGACGCGTCTGGAAGGACACAGTATGCCTCGATATTTAATACAATCAAAACCGTTTACTACAACATCGTTTAGAACAACACCGGTTATATTGACCAATATCATAGATCCCGCCTGAATTGTGTTAGACCTCCTTATAAAAAACATTGGTTTTTACGACATTGCTTATTACGACGTATCTCTTTAAGCGACTACATTTAACTGATATTTTCGGAGAATTATATCAGTTAGAACGACCAGCTGTATTGTAAACATTTGAATAGGTAACAGTATCCACATTTGGCATAGTAAATGACCATTAACATCGCAAAATTAAACAAAAACGTGTCGAGTTTAGGGTCTGTTGTAATTCTCAGAATATCTACTACTGAAGCTGAGGTGTTTATTGATGTAGATAATTCTGTTGCAATTTGTGCACCAGCTACGGAAGATGATATTGTACAAGAAGTTCAAAGGGAAAGGGACGAACAAGAAGAGACTGAGGAACAATTTACAGTGTCAACTTTGAATAATGGTCTTAATGTTGTCAGTGTATTACGAAAAATTGTTCTTTTTAATGAACAGTTTCACGTGCAGGGAAATTATGACGATATATTAATTAAAATTCAATGGGAACTACAAGTGTTCCAAACAGACTAAAATTACAGATTTTATTAATACAGAAAAATGATAATTATATGTACGTTATGTCTTTTTACAATACATTTTATGTACAATAAATAAAATGTAGTTTTATTTTATATGTGAATATATTAATCACGTATTTAATAATAGGGTATTAGGTACTTAATAACAACGTCACCGGCTATTACGACTATCGGTTTTTACGACCAAATATGAGCAGTAAACAGATTGTGACTGTATTACAGTAGATGTTTGTTATAGCGATATTTAGACAATAACCATGTGTCGTTATTAACGGAAGTTTGAACTCCATGAATTTGTTAGACAAACTGAACAATTTCGGAAACACTAATCTTGCACTAATTATGCAGTCCATACGTTAAAGGTTACAAATGTTGTTAGGAAAGGACTTTTTATTTTTCCGACCAAGATTCTGATAGTGAAAATACCGTAAATAATACAACCATTTAAAAGATTCGTAGCAGTAAAAATATGACGTTATATCCGAGTTTTAGCGTTAATTTGAATGGTAAATTTGCGGGACTATTAAAAATTGACGTTACATCAGAGTTGCCATTATAATCGATGTTCTTATAACTTAGCCCCACTGGAATAATGTGAGTGAGGTTGTATAGGGATGTATTACAGGTAGAAAAGACAGTACAAACACTCTGTAAGGATCATGGAAGACCCTTTTTAGCCTTCTTTAGGAATATTGGGAATGGGTGGGTGCTAGTTGGAGTGAGAATGATGAGACAGACCAAATGAATAAAACTCTTTATAACAAAAACTTCCTTCAACGTATTTGCTTTGCCGTGTCATCCATATGGATACACTATCGGGAAACTCTATCTAATCTCGCAATGATAATATCCACACACAAATGAGTTAAACACATGTCCGGTTTTCAAAAAGTTTTTGTAGTGGTTAAGGATCTCATTTAGTTTATTTAATTATTTACCATGGCCTCTTTTACCATTCTTCTTTCTTGATTTCTAACCTACACGTGATTTTCATTTATAACAACAGAATTACTTAGAAAATACAGTCCATTTCAATTTGTTAGAATTGTGACCTCGAAGAAGTCTGCGCGAAGATAGAAAGACTACACACTAGGCGTGAGCAAGACAGAAATAGTTGGAACAAGCTTGAACGAGCAGAGCTCTCGATGGGCGGTCTTAGGAGATCGGCTAGAACTGTACAGTACTAGACGAAAATGTTTAGCAATTTCTTAAAACAAAAATGTATATAAATTAACAATAGAAAACAAAGCAAAAGTTTTATAGGTGTGTTGAGCGTTAAGTTAATTCACTTGTTAATATTCTTGGCTAAATGTGCTTTTAAATTAAGCATATTCTTAGATTTTAACGAGACAGTTTAAATAATTTTGCAAATGGTACTGTACACTTTTGTCTAGTTCTCGCTCGATGATCGGTGGAGAAATGAGCTCCGCAGACAAATATGATTGAATTTGGAAATATGCTACGGCGCATCCTAATAAAGGGAAGGGGCATATCTCTAACTTCTTGAAACGAACAGTAGGTATGGGAATGTAATAAACAAAATATCCTTTACTCTCCTGAAGTACCCTTATTTGCTTATTGAAATAATGTTTTTCGAGTATCACAAATTTCTGTACCTATCTTTTCTCGTTGGCCTTTTCTCTTGTAAATTTTATTCGACTTGTTTCGGTTCGTCATCCGAATTCCATTTTCTTTAGGCTCTAATAGTATTATTCACCGTTTTCTTAACTAACTATCTAACAACCATGAGATTTTCCGAAAAACGTAAATTGAGGAAATTGACTTTAAATAAAAATTTATGAGCATTTTCTCAACCACTGACTCGACGAAACATAAATAGGAGGAACTGAACCTAAAACAAGTGGCAGATTCGCCGTATTCCAGATCCAAACCGGATACCGGCCCAGTTCTGATTCTTTTTTTAAATTTTCCGTGTGCGCCCCTTAACATTGGTCAAGGTATGAGTAGAAATCAAAACCATTAAAGGTATAACGTTTAATTGCACCAAATTAAAACCAACACCAGACGAAACAATTTTTAATGCCAATAAGTTCAAGAAAACGAAGCGTAGATGAGAGTGCGAAACGTCAACACGAGAAAGGTCACCAACATTTAAAATGTGGTGTGAGGAATGAATAGAGAGTGACAGTTTAACAGAAAGAAAATGAAGAAGAAAGACAAATACTAAAGAATTATAAAAAACAGGGAAGGAATGATGATTGGCTACCTGATATGACACAACGAATCTCTTCATAAGGAAACGCTGAGAATTTGAGCAGAGTGGGAAAACCTAGGTGAACCCTTGTCAGAGGACAGAGAGACGAGGCGATTACTCCACCGACAAGAACACAGCTGTTCAGTTGTCACCTCGTTAATTCCACCGTTTCTATTTAAGACTTTTCATCCCTCATGAATTTGACCCGAAGAAAACGCCTACATATAATAAAGTAATTAGTTGAGCGTTACTATCAATTTTTCCTTTATAGGTCTCTATAATATATTTTTATAAGGATGTATACTCAGTTATTTTTAGTAGTATCTGGTAAATACTCTCTCGTCATGATGCGATTCATGTGTCTACATATCTATAACGATTCTTTGATCTATTTAATTAGATCTATATATTGATAAACTTAAAGATTCTTGATGTTGTTTTGACTGATTTTAGTATAAGTAGAAAATAAAGTATGTCTTTCCTAGATATTAGCCATATGGAAGCAATACAGTTTTTAAGTAGGTGGTTTAAGCACACAAGACAGCATAATAAAGACTTAAATAGCTGTCAATTTTTAAAAGTGAATAACCTATTATTTCTTATCTGAACTAAAGTGTAAAACTTTACATTTTGTAACGGGGTGGTAGGAGGGGTCAGGTCAGATGATACGGTCCTGTTGCGTGGGGTTAGGGGGATATGAAACAGGGTATTGTACATTACGTAGATACTTTGATATTTTTGGAAAATTTAAATTAACCGTTCAGTTAAAAAGTCGTTGAAAATGACGATGTTGTCTGTTTTCTTCTAAAACCTAACCTAACCTAAATCTGTCGCTGAAAAACAGAATTTCAAACTCCTTCGGCGATAAATTCGCAAATCAATATTCTATGGAAAGGTACATATCGCTTAAAGAATTTTATTGAATTTGAAATTTGTTGTTATGCCACTGAATTAAATCATCATCATAAGGTCGTCAGTCCTAAGACTGGTTGGACACGTACCTCCGCTTTTTCCTATCCAGAGCTAATCTTCGCATTTCCTTAAAACTAGAACAATCTACATCCTTAACTATTAGCGAACAGTAATCTAACCTAGATCTACCTCTACCCCTCCTAACTCCTGTTTCTGCCATTAGTATGTCTCTGAGTAGACCTTCATGACTAAGAAGGTCTCGTATTAACCTATCTCGCCTATTTTTCTTATTGACTTCCATAGAGTCCTCTGTTCTCCTATTCTTTCTAATACCTCTTCATTTCTAACTTTTCTCTACCCACGTTATCTTCAAAATTTGTCTATAACACCACGCTTCTAACCTTTTCTTTTCCGCCACGCCCACTGTCTATGTTTCGCACCCGTACAACACCGCGCTCCAAACATACAGCTTAGTTGAATTAAATATGATAGTTATTATTTTCTCATAAGGAATTACTTTGTTTCAGGGTCCAGAGCTTATTCGAGTCTCCAGGTTTTACAAAGACGCTAAAGAGGGCAAGTTCGTCAGTTACTTATGGGAAGACTGTCGTACGCTGTACGAAAGCTTCAGAAGAGGTGCCAAAGAATCGAGTAAGCCTTTAAAATAAACAATCCATTAGCACTAATTATGCTTGAAATGCGTTTGAATTGGCGAACCGTTTATTTATCGACGTCCGAATCCAAATAACTTCGCAATATTTAGACAGCACTACAATTTTATGAAGCTACCCAATAAATCATCTATTGAGTTCAACTATAATACTAATAAAAACGCCCTCCACTGAAATTTGTGGAAGTTTACAATATGATTTTTAGTTGTTTATAAGTAGGTAAGGGTTGTAGGTGAGATTTAGCGGGTATTGTCCGTATCAAGTACCTTAAGAATAAGTGAAATTTCACTAACTTTGTACTGGAATTATAAGTAAAAAAAAATAAATGTTGCGTTTAGTTAACGGCATAGGATTTCCGATGACACCAGATTTCTGCTGATTGATTCATATCGATAGAAAAGTTAAGTATCTCGTCATGACTTGACACCATTGGTTAATTTATTTCTGAAAAATTTAAATCAATACCCAAGCCATTATAATAATAAGTCAATATGTAACGTGTTTATGATTTCGGCAGACGGTATAATAAAGTCATTAAAAGATTGTTTTGTGGGGTCCTAATCGTAAATCTAGGGGGAAATCCCTCCATCAGCATACGCTACATGAGGTATCACTATTATAAAATCGTCAGTCCTAAAACTGGTCCTCTAACCTACTCCATTCGCGGTATATCCTCATCATTGGCCTATAACAAAACATTTCGAATGCTTCTAACCTTTTCTTTTCCACCGCACCCGTACAACGCCGAACTTAAAAAAGAAACCTTTAACAATCTTTTTCGAGTTTCTAAATTAACCGTTCGCGAGCATAGAAGTGACTTTTTTGAAGGCGATTCAACCCTCTGTTTTATATCTCTATCCATCCTGACTTCTGGAAACCGAAAATCAGCCACTTTTTCTAATTTTTTGTCTCTTATCTTTATATATTCTCTCTTTCCCTACTTTTTATACCCTTCCATACCAGTATTTTTAGTTTACTTTTATTTATTTTCATACAATACTGTTTTGCAAATCTAAGCATACTAGTCTTTTACCCTGTATATCTATCCTTACAGTTGTATTGTCTTTAATAATGTTGATCGCGTTTTCGATATGTAGATTAAAAAGTAGCGGCAACAGTGTGCATCCCTGTCTGACTCCCTTGCTAATATTTACTTCTCTACGTTGCAGCCCCAGCTCTATAACTGCCTGTTGCTCTTTATGCAAACTAAGTATCACTGTTCTATCTCTGTAACTCATCCCTTTAGGTATATTTAACATCTTGTCCCATTTAACATTGTCAAAAGCCTTTTCTTAATCTACAAATCCTATGTATGCGCTCTTTCTCTATCGTTTTCTCTATTGTTCCCCGTAAAACTAGAATGGCTTCCTGCGTTCTTCTATTTCTTTTAAACCCAAATTGATCTTCCCCTAATAGTTCTTCCGCCCTTTTTTCCATTCTTCTCTGTACAATTCTAGTTAAAATTTTTGACGCAAGTTAAGCTAATTGTTCTAAATGTCTCGCACCTATCCACACCTCTGTTTTTGTTCCGTTTATAATCCTTTGGGACTTTCGCCCTCTCGTAAATGTGACTAACTAGCATAAACATACGATTTCTAACCTTTTGTCCTGCATGTTTTAGAATTTCCGCCCGTACTCCGTCTATACCTGGAGCCTTATCATTCTTTAAGTTGTTTAATGCTACATCGAACTCTTATTTCATTATGGGATAACCTAGCCACCTATCTCCACACTATCTTCCTTCAAGGGACATATCCCCTATTTATTCTAGTTAATATATAAGGTAATTTTTGATGAGTTACCTATCAACTAATTAATTAATTAATTAACTATAACATGAATTACAATGCTGCGGTGTTTCAGCTCTAGCGGTCTTTCATATTTTGAAGTTGAAGTAATATTTCAAATAGGTAAAACTATAGGAAAACTAAAACTACGAATCCTCCCCTGATTCTATGTCTTCTATGAATGTGATTGTTCAATAAAGATGAAACCCGGCACCTCCACCATATTTTCGGTTTGATTTTATACTTGACTTTGTTCGTTCGGTCTTGGTTTTAGTCTTGGTTTTGTTCGTTCGTCGTAGTCTTGATCTTGCTAGTATAAAAACTACAAGAGCAAGATCAGTTTTACTCACCAGTGGGTCTTAGACACAGGCAATAAGTTTTACTTTATTCTTAGCTCCTTAAATTTTACCTATTTTATTTCTTCCGTAATGCTGAATAAATCTACAGCAATGTGGCGACAGTAACACATAACTTCGTCACTGACTGAAATTAGCCAACCATTTTTAACCAACAAAAGTCAGTTTATTAATACTTGCATCCGTTTCAGTGTAGCCATCGGAAAATGTTTAATATAATTCATCTTTTTGTGAGACGATGCGATTACATTTGAAGGGGAAGAAGTTTCCACATTTCCAACGCAATTTCCCAAGTGAACTCTGTTAAATGCATCGATCTATTTGAGACTGATTGATTGACTGACTGAAAGCTAATTGAGTTATTGACGAAACGTTTCCGTACGAAATTTCGATGATGCCAACTCGATCGTTATCATTTTAAGTGTAATAAATTGAATTTAAGTAATGTACCGATGATGATTCCATGTAAAATATTTATAGAACAAACAGAAAAACTCAAAACCCCAACGCCAAAACAAGACACTGTAGTTGTCCGAAGCACTTTTCGCACAGTGTCTTGTTTTGGCGTTGGGGTTTTGAGCTTTTCTGTTTGTTCTACAACAACCGCCAAAGTTTTTCCAATCTTCATGTAAAATATTTATGTTTATCTATCTCTTATAAAGAGATGAGATACAGGGTAGAAGGGTGATATGTAGCATCAAGCAGTATAGCATTTTTGGGCAGCAACGTTGAGATGAAGTAAATATTAGGAAGAGAGTGAGGCAAGGATTCCCAGGAGGCATAGTTAGGAGTCGATGCCGCCTGTAGCTTCGCGTCTTAGGGGTCTCATAAAAATAACCATTCTAAAAATAATCGTAAGAGTCATCAATAGCATTTATTCAGAGTAGTCTGACAACATTTACAGTTATGGGATTCCTCAGCCAAAGGACTCGTATTTAGGCCAGAAACTTATTTAAAGAAATACGTATATGGGATTCCCAGGCGAAGTATGAAAATAGCCACGAAAATGTTGAACAAAATCCATAAGGATATCGACTTCTCGAGCTGAACACACAGCGGGCATACTTAGATTTGCTGATGATACAGCACTATTAGCATCTAGCAAGGAGAACTTAGACTTAGCCGTAAATAAAGTGGAAGCGGTATTGTCGGAATAATGATAAACAAAAATTGATCAGAAATTAGATCAAAAACTAGAAATCGCTGTTTTATGCTAGGGAATCACATAAATAATTGATATTAAGATAGCGACAACAATAACGTTCTTATAAAACTTATGTTAATTGTCGTAAGGTGGCAATAGGTTAGTTAAAATAGGTGCTATTTCTTACTGTACATACCTACTGTTTTTAAATAAGTCTGGTTTATGTTCAGCTCGCTTTTAATTAATAGAAAATATGTTTTGGTAACAAAAATTTCCAAAACAAATACGTTATCAAGTAAAATGTTTATAGAATTTTTCAGGGGTTTTATTCTCCTTATTAAATAAGTTTGTAATAATTACACATATTAATAAACTTGTTCTAGTATTAATCTTATCATAAGTATAAGGTACGTAATTTAATCTATAAAAGCAGAAAATTAACATTAATTTTAATACTAAATATGTATAATTGCATAATTTTGCAATAAATCAAACTCCCATTTACATATTGTAGTAGTTCGACGTTTACACATAAAACTTTGATTTAATTTATTATTATCTATTATTTATTAATTTACTGTACTCGGTGCCGGGGGGCGACCGGGATGTCTGCCACTCCATTTGAGTACCTGTTTTTATCGATCTAAAAGAAAAGATTTTTTAATTTGTAATGAAATAAGTATACCTAAATGGGCGTCAAAGGCATGACCCGTCCGAGGCGCCTAGATGGCTAACCAACCCTGACTGTACTCAATTTCGATAGGATATTAAAGAAATTTATAATACGTAAAACAATAATCTTCTAATGAATCTACAGATAACAACAATTTTTCTATGATTAATTGCTACATGATTGATTATAGATAAGATATAAGACAAGGTCTAGTTCGAAAGACAGGCTCATTTGTACGGAATAGTTATTACAACGTTTCCCCGAAGGTACGGCCTACCCCGAAATTAGAATATTTAGAGCAAATTGAAAAAACATAGAAAATATAGAGAATTAAAGATTTTAATCTCTGTTATTGACTTATTCTCAAATGGACAAGATTTTAGAGGCGTTTCTGTTTCGGAATTTTAAAAAACAGCCAAACTTACAAGCACCAAATTAGGTCTAATTATAATTTATACTTTAAAGGTCATTTTTTGAATCCACAAGGTCTGTAAAAAATTTTTGTAAGAGACTTTTTATTCATAACAAAAATCTTGATACTTCAGTACTAAGACAAAAGTTTGAGTCGCTGGGGAGGGATACAGCTGCCTCCACCTGTCCCCCCCCCCCGGACGACGCCCTTGCATGTGGTATATTCTAGTTTTAGAGAAATGAAAAGATTAGCTTAGTGCGTGTCCAACCTGTCTTAGGACTGACGACTTTATTGATGACGATTTATATTTTCTGGTGGATGCGCCAGGCACACATATAAACATCTAATAACGGTGCAATAGCAAGAAAGCTTTACCGTACAATTCTTTTCATTTGCATAGTTGTACATACAAAATGCCCCAAAAACGTCGTACACGTAAACGGCAATGAAAATTTGAGGTGTAAAGTCATTTATAATATATTTGAAGCTACACATGGTTTTGTGATCGAAACTGAATCAAAAGATACCAGAAGAATTTTAGAATGTTCCAGTAAAATTATTACGTCTCGAGTATTAGAAAGAATATGTTAATAGATGACTCTATGGAAGTCAATAAGAAGTAGGCGAGATTGATAGATGAAGGTCTAGTTAGAGGCAGAAACAGAAGTTAAGAGGAGTAGAGGTAGAGCTAGATTAGATTGCTATTCGCATATAGTTAAGGATGTGGGTTGTTCAAATTTTAGGAAATGCGAAAATTAACTCAGGATAGGAAAGAGTGGAGGTACGTGTCCAACCAGTCTTAGGACTGACGACCTTATGATGATGATGATGAGTTTAATATATATTTCAAAAACACAAAAATGTGGAGAAATTGTAAAGAACTGTAGTCAATTCCTTGCTATCACAATTATTTTTCTCTATTTGCATTACAGATAACGGCCCCTGTTTAGGATGGCGTGAATCGTACAATAAACCTTACCAATGGCTTAACTACAACGAGGCCCTCTTAAGAGCTAAAAATTTCGGTTCTGGTTTAGTGGCCAACGGTTTACAGCCCGGTACGAACACTTTCATCGGCATATATTCCCAAAATTGTCCCGAATGGATCCTGACAGAACAAGCAGCTTATTGTTACAGTATGGTCCTGGTGCCATTATATGACACACTCGGTCCAGACGCCTGTGCCTTCATCATTAAACAAGGTCAGACTTTTTAGTAAAACTGGTGTATATTTTCTTATTATTTCTTTGAAAAAAAAACTAAAAACAATAATGAACACAGTATCTTTTGAGTTGCTTTTATACCTCAAACTTCACAAACTACAGACTCCCATAACATTTCTACCCTATAAGGGTCGATTGTCTAAATAATAATTTCAGCAAGTAGATATCCACACAAGTGGACCTTGTTGGAGCATACGTAATCCTAAAATGTAGCATCGTGCTACAGATGGCGTTTAATACGCCATTTGTAGTATTTTCTAAAACGCACTGTTAAGACAGCAGGTAAAAGTTGGTCTCTGTCCTGTCGGAGCTGCCTGCAAAGCGCTGATGAGATCCAAAAAGATCGAAATCGCGATCCGCGTCTGGCAGTTTCGACAGAATACAAGACCACTTCGAATTATTTTATTCGATTAAGCTAACGTGCCTATCACGTTGAGGTTGGCTACGCCGGGATTCGTTTTCAGCAAGTAGATATCCACACAAGTGGGCCTTGTTGGAGCATACGTAATCCTAAAATGTAGCATCCTGCTACAGATGGCGTTTACTGCGCCATTTGTAGTATTTTCTAAAACGCACTGTTAAGACAGCGGGTAAAAGTTGGTCTGTGTTTTATCNATTTTGATTTTAATCAATTCCTTTTTCCCTTAGCCGAAATAAATATTGTTATTTGTGAAGATGACATCAAATGCAATCTTCTACTAGACAAAGCGCCAAAATGTTTGAGAAAAATTGTTTCATTCAAAGAAGTTCGACCGGCCACAAAACAAAGGGCCAAAAATAGGGGTGTAGAAATACTTCGGTTTTCCGACGTTGAAACACTGGGGTCACAAAAAATGCATCCAGATGAGGTAACTATCAGCAATAACAATGACCTTAATATACGATACAATTTACACTTAAAATTAGTAGCATCTTTAAATAAGCAAAAGATCAATTTAACCTCAAAATAAGTAAAGTAAAGATCCTTATTATTAATTGAAAATATTACTACTTTAGTGAAACATATTCAGTTCATTTTCATCTTTTTTTTTTTAGAAATAGACCTCAGGTTTTTTTATTTACGATTTAAATTGTATTTTGAAAACTTTCACTTTCTTAAACACTTTTCCGATTAGTATTTAATGTATTGCAAATATGTCAAAATATAATAAAATTCAGTACAGGCATACAAATATAAAATTGGTATTATTCTCGTAGCCCCCAAAACCGTCTGATCTCTGCACAGTATGTTACACAAGCGGCACAACGGGAAACCCAAAAGGTGTAATGTTGTCCCACGAAAATGTTATCGCAGCTGTTTGTGCCGTTATGTTACAATTCGGGGACCACAGGCTCACTAGCAGTGATACCATGATATCATTCCTACCTCTTGCCCATATGCTGGAAAGGTGCTGCGAGGTAAATTATCAAAACATCATCATATAGAAAATTTCCTTCAACCACCTCTCTTACAGTCACAAATTTGTAGTTATATCATTACAATTAATCTCAAAAATTAATGAAAAAAAATTGTTGCTGCTGTCACGCCCTCGCCGAGAATCGAACCCGGGTGCATGACTTTACGCATCATTGCTCTACCACTAACCTACGAGGTGACAACAGCAACAATAACGACCTTACCTAACTACAAAGGTCACAGAATCGTCTAACTAGTATATAATCATTATTAACAATAAGAATTTTAACCTAACCTAACCTACGAGGTGACAACAGCAACAATGGCGACCTTACCTAACCACAAAGGTCACATAATGGTCGAACCACTGTATAATCATTATTAACAATAAGAATTTTAGAAAAAATTTTGTAGGGTTCACTTTGATGTACTGATAACCCTACAAAAATTCTTCTAAAATTCTCATCGTAGTTTTATATTTCCTGCATTTCGGGTTATGTTTGGCTTATTTTTAAGAATGCCATGTACATGGTCGGAGGCGCGATAGGCTTTTTCTTGGGGGACGTAAGAAGACTTTCGGATGACATGAAGGCCCTTCGACCAACAGTCAGCCCCGCAGTGCCGAGATTACTAAACAGAATTTACGACAAAGTCCAGTCAGAAGTTTCTGGCAGCTTTATAAAGAAAATGCTATTCAACATGGCTATGAGTGCCAAAGAAAATGAACTTAAAAGGTTCGCAAAAAAAAACTACAGTGCTACCTATTCATTTCTAAACCAAATTCTAAATACTAATTATAATTTTAGGGGTATAGTTCGTAACAATAGTATTTGGGACAAAATAGTGTTTAGAAAAGTACAGGAAGGGATGGGAGGAAGATTGCGACTAATGTTGGTCGGATCAGCCCCTTTAGCTGAAAATGTTTTGACATTTGTCCGATGCGCGTTGGGGTGTGTGGTGAGTACTATGCCACTAATTAATCGTATCAAAATCAAAATATTTACCCGAAATTACTATTTTTACCATGTAGGTGGTTGAAGGGTATGGTCAAACAGAGTGCACCGCTCCCATAACCCTTACGATTCAAGGAGACCATGTTCCTGGCCATGTTGGCCCTCCAGTAGCTTGTTGTTGTGTCAAATTGGTTGATGTCCCGGAAATGGAATACTGGGCGAAAAATAATCAGGGAGAGGTGTGCGTTAAGGGTACCAATGTATTCATGGGTTACTACAAAGATCCCCAGAAAACAGAAGAAACTATAGACGAGCAGGGATGGCATCATACAGGAGATGTGGGACAGTGGATGCCGGTAAATTCAAAAGAAATATATTTTTGATTTGATACAGATTTTTAGGTATTTATGATATTTTTTTTTTAGAATGGCACATTGAAAATAATTGATCGAAGAAAGCACATCTTCAAATTGTCCCAGGGAGAGTACATCGTTCCAGAGAAAATCGAGAGTGTTTATCTTAGATCTCAGTACGTTCATCAAGTTTTTGTTCACGGCGAATCATTGAAGGTTTGTGTCGTATTTTCGCCAGTAGGAAATTGCGATTATTAAAATCTTTTGAAATTAATTCCAGTCTTGCATTGTCGCAATTGTGGTGCCGGAGGTGGACGTAATAAAGTGCTGGGCGCAGGAAAATGGAATCCCGGGAACGTTTAGCGTCCTCTGCAGTCACCCCGAAGTGAAACAACTTATTTTTGACGACATGATTGCATGGGGGAAGGAAGCTGCTCTTAAATCATTCGAACAGGTAAATGACAACGCTTAAAGATAAAGCACCCATGACATAGTAGAAAAAGGAGACTGTGGTAAATAATAATCAATTAAAAATTTAAAAGAAGACTCGCCCCTAATTACCACAAAAAATTGCGTTGGTAATGCCCACGTATGAAGTGGGCGAAACACGTGTCCACTCAAAAAAGTTTTTGTGGTAATTAGGGGTTTCTTCTTTTTAATTTTTTAATTAACACCCATGACATCAAAGACGTAATTAACGACGATTGGACCCATGACATTTTGGATCGATTTTTGTGAACATTCTAAATTCATATGCGATTGAGATACTTATCCTCACATTTGGAGTTGTTTAATACATTAATATAACAAAACTTTTATATGTATGCATATATTATTATGTATTCCAGGTTAAGGACATATACCTCCACCCAGATCCCTTCAGCATGCAAAATGGCCTTTTAACTCCTACCATGAAGTCAAAAAGGCCCCAAATCCGAAACTACTTCTTACCTCAAATCGAAGACATGTACGCTAAACTAAATTAGAGAAGACATTTCCTACGAATATTGAAATTATCATCTCTACAATAAAAAAATCGTAAGCTTTTTAATACACTCCTTATTTTCTTTGTATTTTGATAACACGATAACTACAATGCGTCTCTTTCGACACGCCCTCTCTTAATTGCGATAGGAAGAAATATCTGCTATTCTTTACGTTTTATATCGAAATAAAACAGCAAAAATCGTATGTTTTACGATGATTACTGATTACACAAGATAACTGCGTCAGTAAAGTTAATCCCATGCTGCATTGTAAATATAATAAGTAGGCAAAACAAATAAGATTACAGTCAAACAATCATACGTTTACCTGAACATTTTTAAATTGAAGGATAATAAGGCAGAAAAAAGTGAAAATGAAGGACTAATTAAATTATACAGTTGTCTGCGTTTTTTTTTTAATATTAATTTCACTAGAAACAATTAATAAACAATTGTTGAGTTATTGCTATTATATATTACAAAATTGCGATGTTCTCGTTAACTAAAAAAAAAATGTTAAAAACTTAATAAAAAAATAGGAAATTTTGCGAAAATTTATTACTTTTTTTTAGTATAATTATTTAATTTTCTTTAACTTAATGTTGACTATTTTGTAATTCGTGATTACTGTCTGTGAATATTGCTTACTTTACATTACATTTTGATAAAACATTTATGTATTATCACATATTAATTAATTCGAATGGTCAAAGTGTATTAGACTGTGCAATTAAAAAACAAGGAAACTTTTTAGCAATTTTTCTCATATCATAAATAAATGAAGCATCCGCTTTTAGGTCGTGGTAGAGAATATCTTTTATACAAGAAATTAATTTACTTATTGTTCTTTTGTACCTTTCGATTTTTCTTTGCAATTTCATCGCAATGAAATAATATAATTAGTATTGAATTTGTGGTTAGTTTTTATTTTTAAAAGTTACTTAGTTGTAAAGTTTTCATTAGGTTTTAAGACGATTTTCAGTTATTGTAGATAAATCAGTTATTAAAGCAATAAAATGATTTTACAACCCCCTTTTTATTTTCGCAAATTTTAAATAAACATTGGATAATTTTTATTTCTGTAAAAACAACGTTGTTTAGTAATTTCGATTTGTTTTAATGAAAAATAAATACATAAAAATTTTAATACCACTTTCCAACGTGTTTTTTATTTCGAATGATATTCCTTTAGTTGAAAATGAAGGAAAAATTAAAAGCAATGTCTATAACAATGGAATGACTTTATTGGTTCAACAACGATAAATAAATATGAATTATGACACAATTATAATAAACTAATACATGATCAGTCAGACCTAGGAGTCATATCCTTTTAAAGTACATTAAAAATATTTATTTGGCTTAAATGTACGAAAAGTGCATTAATATATTATCTATTTCATCTTATCATCATTGTTATTATTATAATTATTATTACTATTTGTTTATTAGTCCTTAAAACGCAAAAACAGTCCTATACAAATCATAACAAAACTAACTATCGCCACAAACAGTACCACCCTCTCCTGAATGGAACGGCATAACATTGACCCCGCTATCCTAGACGATCTTCCCAATTCCTCATTCGTCTCCCTTAACTTAAGGAAATTCATTAAAAGTTACTGTTGAAATGAAGAACAAAGGGTGCAGAGGAAGTCATTAACAAAGAAAAGGAAAACTGGAACGGTAGGACACCTCTTCTGACACATGAAGGGTTTGTTAGATATATAGGAAGCAGAAACAGGAATAAAGACCTAGATTGGATTACTGTTCGCGTTCACAAATAGTTATGGGTCTGGGATGTTCCAGTTTTTGGGAAATGCAACGAGTGACTTATGACAGGAAAGATTGGAGGTGCGTTTCCAAAAAATCATTGGGCTGATGACTATATGATCATGATGATGAAAGTCATTTAAAGCAAAATATGAAACTTAATTTAACCCTAGGAAATTTAACAAACTCACCCAGCATTGGCGTTTAATTCATTATGTAATATGTGATACGTACAATAATAAATTTTTAAAGGTAAGTATATGAAATTATTAAATTATATTATCAATAAACTATATAAAGTACTTATCGATGTATAAATAAATAAATTAGTGAAAATGAAAGTAGTAATTATTATAGTAAAGGGGAAAATGTTAAAATCAACCAAATACCTATTATAAAATTAAAAAAAAATCGAAATGTAATAAACAAATTACTTATGTGATAATAATGACATTTTTATTCATATTTTCAAGGCTTTTTAGAAAAATTTAATATATAACAAATATTGTTGTTTTCTCTGTAGTAATGTTTTATCACCTTCAGTATCTAATTCAAGGATACAAACATCGTATTTATAAGAATTAATACTGTTAGTGTTATCTCCTATTAAAACATATATCGTTCAACCAACATGTCATGTCTGATTCTTATCATCACATTACTGTTAATAACATTAAACTAAACAATAATTCAATTTGGATTTAATATACACATTTACTATGGAATACATTCATTCTGATAACGCTTAAATTTTTTATGAAGCAATTTTTGTAAACAATTGAAGAAAATGATAATTGAGATTTTAATTATGATATGATGCTGCATTAAATGATTACCATACTACTAATGTGTTCTTACCCTATTTCTTGATCTTTGTATAGTTTCTCTTTGTTCATTTAAGTTTTGAAGCACTTGGGTACCAATTTCATGAGTTTCTATTATCACCTTATAACCATCATCCAGCTTCTTTCCTGTACGTTCCAATTTCTCAGAATTATTCAACAATTTCTTTTTTTGATTTATGGATATCTGAACATCTTCGTATTCATCTGGAGAATCATAGTTTAGAGTTGTTCCCTGTTTAATAGAACGAGCTTTTATATATTCTAAAGTTAATCTTTTTAGTTCAGCTCTGTAACACTCCAACTTCGTCCTGCTCCTTTGTTTCTTTGATGCCTCAATATCCCTGATCTCCAAATCCATTTGTTCCAGCTACAAAATCAATTTCAAATTTTGAACCAGTAAAAAGCAGGATATCAACTGGACTTACCAATTCTTGTGCCTCCTCCACATTTTTTTCGATATTTGAAATAAGCTGCCGACGGTCTAATAAAATAAATGAATAAATATCAAATACTGTTGATGTATTTACAAAAACAAATGAACTCACTTAATCCAGAATTTCTGAGAAGACCTATTTGGGAGGTGATGTCTGCTGTTAAGGCGGAATATTGCTGTTCATAGTTTTCAAATAACGAAACCATGATACGTTACATTTTTTACAATCTTTATAAACAAAATGTAATTGTTAAAATTTTATGAGAATTCATGTTGAATCATATTTACACACTTAAATCGTAGATGGCCCTGCGCGAGATTGCTGTCATATTTATTCGAAATCAGTGTCGGTAAAGTAGGGAAGTTTCTTTCCTAACTAGTCCAAGTTAAGAAGGTTAGTGGTTTGTTATTCTAAAAGAAAATTAAAAATTGTTAATAATCTTGTGTATTTGTAATGATCCATTATTTTTAAATATATTATTTTAAGTGAAAAATAGCAACGAAAACTATTCCGAAAATATTTTTCTCACTGCTTTTTCGTGTTTAGGTCATCATGGTACAGCGTCTGGTTTTTCGGAGGCGTTTATCTTATAACACAAACTCCAACAAACGAAAAATGTAAGTAGGAAATAATTAATTTGCACCTAATTGATGTACTTTTTCTGTTGTAATCGCATTTGGGAGTATTGTCCAACTGGAATTTTTGTATATTCACAAAAATATTAAACCTAACCTCCATATCGAAACTCAGATTCACTTTGAAGAGGTCATAATGATGAGTTTAGGCTAGAGTCCTGATTAAATTGAAGACAATTAGTTACTCTGAACTTTATTCAATTCAATTTAATTGTATTTACACTGTTTTATAGACACATATTAATTTAATTATTTTTATAGTGTCCGCACACCAGGTGGACGCTTAGTGTATCAATACCTGAAAAAACCCAAGAAAGTACCAAGATGTGGCCAATGCAAAGATAAACTCAGAGGAATTATTCCTGCACGATCGCATGAAAGGTCGCGAATGAGTAGGCGTAAGAAGACAGTCAAACGTGCATACGGTGGAGTCTTGTGTCATAAATGTGTTAAAGAAAAGATTGTTAGAGCTTTTCTTATTGAAGAACAAAAGATTGTAGTTAAGGTTCTTAAAGCCCAACAAGCCACTACAAAGGCTAAGAAGTAGATGACTTAATAAATTTGTTATTTATATTTTGCATTTTGTTTTATTTTATTTATACTAACTTTTAGTCTTCTTCTTGCATGCTTTTTAAATAGTGCATTTATTGATAGAAATACAATAAATATAAACTAAAGGTTTAGGAAAGTGGTGGTGAAATTTTGGGATTTTCTATATTACATGAAGTTGAACTTCCCAGCAGCTACATTTTTTTTATTGTGAGAACAATACTATAAAGAATTTCAAAATGGGTAAGTACATTAAACTGATTTTAGTTTATCTTTATTAAATTAATTGTATTTTTTTATATGTGATACTCTTAAATTGATGACTAAAAAAGTTCAAAAATTATTTACAAAACAAACGTTATAGTTTTTACAATAGATTACTATTATTTCTATGAATTTGATTTTGTGTGTTATTTTATAAAAGATACTTTTAATAAAAGGAATATCAAACCATTTTAATTTAAATATTAAATAAATAGAATTCTGCAAACGTTTTTAAGTTAGATAAGCATACCACTATAAAAATAGCATAGATGTCGCAACCATTTGCTTTTAGAAAAAATAAATGTAATGTCCGAGGATTCTGGGAACTGCTGTTTGTGTTTGTGTAGTGATTTTTCAAAGATTTTCATGTGAAAAAAGTGCGGAAAATGGCCGATTCCCGTAAATTGGAAGTACAAAGTGCTATATTTTCCAATTTGGAGTCTGGTTTGAGCTACGTACAAACAGGTTAGTCAATATTTATCATTAGACTTTCTTCTAATTATCGGTGTGCTTAAAATATTAGATCTCACTCGTTGTGTTCTTAATTATTTTATGATTGGTGGTAAATAATACCTATTAATGTTAATGAGATCGTATTTTTGCAAACAAGGTAAAAGTAACTATATATGTTAAAAAACTTATTATTACCTAGATGGTGTCATATATTTATCACGTAGAACTGGGTAATTTAAATGTCAAAGTCGCAAATATTTATTTCATATTTAAAACAATTATCTAATCAACAAATAAGTGGTTGCTTAATTGCAGTTCATATCACTCATACTTATTTGTATATTTTAAATTAGATCTGCAACAACTTTAACAGCTGAGATTTCTAGGTTAGAATTTCATTTTTATTTTACTACTGTTTACTGATCATTAATTAGTTTTAATTGTAGTTTCCGGTTGATTTGTTAATTTTGATAAAAATATGATATTAATACAATATCTTTTTATACTATACCATGGCATAATACACGCATAAATACGCGCTGTTAGAAACTTGAGAAATTATTGACCTTGAGGAAAAGTATGAATGAAATGAGAAAATTTTCTATAAATACAAATGTCTTGCGATTAGACCAAATTCTTGAGGAGTAGGAAAAACAAATAAATGAGTAAAAATATCTGTACATACGTACTCTAGAAGTAGAGCTTAATAACAGAATGGGTTAAAGTTAAAAATACTGAATAGCGTAGATAACAATATCCGTCTTCATTAATGAAAATCTTAACGTCAACATTAATTTATCGATTAGAGACCTAATTACTAGAATAGAATAGAATATCTGTTTTTAAAAAATATTCTTTGAATGTCATCTGATACTTAAGTAAAAGAATTGTATTTACAAAAATTGTGACCAGAATTAGTATTAGACCTTTTTTTTTATTACACGTTGATCAATAATTTAAATTACACCCTACTGTTCTTCTTATTTTGAACATTTGTGAATTTAGTTCTGACATATGTTGAAGGGCATTTTATGCATATTCTATAATAATTATGAAACACATAGCTTATTTAAGCCAGTTGCTGTGTTCGATCTGTTAATTGGGTAATTCAATCATATCATAAAAAGCTACATGAGATCATCTTACAATTTATTTATATGTATTATGTGAGGCGTACATCATTATTTAAATTGGAAACTAGCATAATGTACTTATTTGATTTGTATTAGGTAGGTATACAGGTAAAGTGTCGTTCAACTAATTACCCAAATAAATTAATAAATAGGTAAGTACGTATTAAGTAGGTACAACAAAAGACTAATTCCATATTTTTTAACAGAGTTAAAAATGACAATAGCAACAGTTAAACTTATTTTTATCTTGGCTATCTCGAATAAGTAGTTTTTACTTGAATTTGGGTAAAAAATTAACTGATACTTTTTAAGTTCATTTTACAATTATTGAAAATATATGTTGTACATAATGTAGATGTCGAAAATGTTGTTTATTATAAATTTAGAAAATTCGATTCTCAACTGCATAGGTATCATCATCCTAAGTAATTAATTGTAAAGTTAATTATGAGAAAGGTAAGCGTCATCTTAAGAGAGACCTGTGATGAAGGTAGATCCATTTAAATGGTTATTTGCCTCATCAATTCATCTACTCATCGTTAGATGGTGGTAGTTTCATGTTTTTGAATTTTAATTTGGTTATGTATTGACATTTATAAAAAGTGCATGTTAGTACGTGAAAAGTGAAAATGTTAATCCATTATAAATATAGTGACATTCTTTAAGGCATTTGTGACTTTGGGTAAGAAGTTCCACAATTAATCACTAAAATGTGTATTAACAAAATTGGATAATTATTGCACTTTAAAGGATAAATTAAAGACAGTTGAAGATTTGTTTATTAAAAATGCTTACATTTTAACTAAAAAAATGCATAAGTAAATCCTTTTTGTTAAGATAAATGGCAAGATAACAATGATATGGAATATAAATCTATATTCTTTAGTAAAAGCACATTTAATATTAACATCGTTTAGTTCAGAAATAAACATGATAAACGGTAACATAAAACACAATTGCTTTTATACCTTTTTATAAACTGAGGAGTACTTACGCCTATTCCGATATTTCGTCCAATAGGGCGCAATGAAAGAAAATATTCATATTTATTTAACATTTGGGTTATGGGGGTTTCCCCTGTATTTTTTTAAATTTCTGCCGGACTTCCTCGGACACCTTAAAACCGCAAAACATGTCCAGATAAATCCAAGCGTATTTAGACCTTAATTATAGCGTCTTTTTTTTTTGTACGTTTTTGTAATTATACTATTAGTGTCTGACTTATCATCGGACACCTTAAAACTTCAAACATCTTTTTTTGTATGTTCTTGTCATAATGCTAAATTTTAATGTCTGGCTTATTGTCGGATGGAATCAATCCGAAATTCAAATTTTTTGAGTGTATATGTATAGATATTGTCACTACTAGTTATATTCTCACAAGTAAGTATTTATGACCAGCATACAATAGACAGACTTCAGTACAATTAAACTCATTGATGATCTATGTATACTTCTTCGCAAAACTAAGTAATAGTGCAATTAAATCGCCCATAAGTCGTGCTATGAATTTTTCATGACCATTTCGAAAATTACTATGCCGGCGCCATGATTGGTATTTCTACATCTATTATAAAGGCTGCTAACATAATATTATTTAAAAGCAATTTCATTTTGCTGTTAAATTAAATCAATGTTTTTTCCTTCCTGTTTAATTGAGTAATATGTCAAAAATACTTATTATTCGTCACTAGGAGAGGGTTCTTTAAAACAAAAACAGAAATATAAATTTTAATTCTACTAAAATTAAGTGTATTAAAAATTTGAAACTATTAACAAAGAAAAAGGCATATCGTTTAGACAGATTAGAATTATGTTTTAAAATCACTAAAAGCCACTACTAGAAATAATGGATATAGCGAAATTATGCATCAGGGTATAAAAAAACTCATCGACCTTTCGAATAAAGTGAGATCTCAAATATTTACAACTGCACATGTTTATCCTTTCTTGTTCGGTGGTATTACAATAAAATTGAACTGTTTAGTTTAAAGGCAGTTTACATTAAATTTAAAAAGCCGTAATTGTATTTTTGTATTTGATTGATAAAAAAAAAGACATTGTGTTTCTTAAGGATGTTTGCGAGGTATGTCAAAATGCTACGAGACAAATAAAAATTTGGAAGAACGTTCCTCATTCAATTCTAAAACTCCTGTAAAAATTACAAATCGATTCATTGAACCGTTAAAAGTTATTGAAATTTTAAAAAATTGTAATTTTACACGTCATTTTATGGAGATTCGTTAACTGAACAGATTAAATTTATTTTTATTAACAGAAAAAAAGCTACCAGAAATTTCAAACTTTTATAATAAGTAACTTGAACTCTAGAGAATCACTTTAGCGTAAGGTTATTCAAATTCACTAAATGGTTATCGAGGAAAGAATGAAAAATTAGCTGAAAATCTCGTTTTTACTTGATAATATAATGATAATATTTATAATTGTCTGAAATAAATGCAATTTTAAAGTTTTAATTATTATTTAAACATATTGAAAAGTTTTACGCTCATTATTAATAAAAATTGGAACTAAATATTTTTTTGTTTCGAAGTTGAAATCAAGGCATATTCACTGCTAAAAGTCAGTTAAAAATTTTCCATATTATTCGTTATTTCTTATTTTATTCAAAGTTTTTGGTCAAATTCCAAATTTTCTCTCAAACCGTATACTTTTTTTTAGTATAGATAGTATTTATTTACCTCATGATATGCTGCAAAACCTAATTAATCACGAATTTCTAATTTTATGTACTCTTGTCTCCGATTGTATCTCCCAAACATCCAGGTACGGAACCTTTGGTGTGGGAATCAAACCTGCACTTGTCCGATGTTTTTTTTTTCTGTAGCACTTATGTTCAAGTCCGGTCCTGCCTAAAACGTCACGATCAGAAATCAATACGGGCATTAAGTCCGTTTGGTTTAGTCTCTTGGTTATTCGTTCTTCTATTGTTATGTAAGTTGCTCAGTTGACGTTTTTGACGGGCGATATTAGCCCAGATGGGGGCCATGATAGTCACGGTAACAGAAACGCCATTGTGTGATTGCATCGATCATGGCGTGTAGGAGTGTACTCCGGCTTTGCGTTTAATTCCTGAGGTCCCTGTACGACAGCCGATTCAAAGGAATCAAGCAGCCATTCAATAATATAATACGTTCCCCTCGAATGAATGTACGAG